TTGAACCCTAGAAACCTGTGGAAATAAGGAACTCGTGCCAAGATTTTCACAACCCGAGCACAAGCAGGCAAGTGCTTATTGAGTAGCTAAGCCGAGTTTTAGTAGTTGACGTTTTTTTTTTTGTTTTTTCTGGAGCGGGACTCTGTCCGCACCTTTAGTGCCATTATTAGGGTTTCCATATTTTATCGATTTTGCTCTCTTCCTCTTTCTGTCTTATGTGGGCCATTTTATTGGGTTAAGATATCGGTGGATATGCGTCTTTTTTTTAGAGACAGTAATTCTTGAAAATAATATTGTGGTACATTTATATACTAACAGCGGATAGTCCTGTGAGGATCCATGCATGTCAGTGATATTTTTGGGATGTTGGTCAAGCTGAGCTGTCCGATTTCGAGCTGCTTGCTTCCAGTTAATACCCACCGATTCTTTGGTGTCTGGGGCCGGGGTGAGCTGGTTTTATTTGTTGACATAGTAAATTGCTCCTAACGCACATCAGCGAATCCATCAGCTTCTTCTAGGCAGTCTCGAGGACGGAGTTGTCGACAGCACTTGCAGCGAGTGGCTGCTACTTTTGACGCGTACTTTCACTCGGGCCACACTGTCTCTCACGCAGGTTAAATACGAGAAGCGTAATAGATTTATAGGCGTAAATTCGTGAGAAGTGGAGCAAATGTTGCATTTGTGGGACAGTTCTCTGAAGATTCTTTGTTGCTGCTCGGTATTCGCATTTTGGCGTAATAATAAATGGGAACTTCTCGCCAGCTGACGTGCTGTTTGGTCAGTTGCCAGTATTGCTTGTGTGTTGTGCAACTCGCACACGTTTATCTGCTCCAGTTTTTGTGTCCTCTTTCTTTGTTCGCATTGAAATGTAGTTTCTGATTAGTGCATGGAAGTGAGCGAATCACAGAGGGATTACTGTACCTGTGTGAAGGAATCGAAACCTCGCACCATGCCTACCGGTTTTTATTGCTTTTTTTAAATCAACAATTTAAATTTTTTGTCTGGAGAGATTACTGCAAAATTATATATTGTGAAGTGCACATGAATTTGCAGTCTGTGTTTCATCCCTTAGCTGTATAACGAATTATATCCGCTAGTAGAAGTTTAGTTCCACTGTGGGACATTGTCCAGTGTACCGTCTGTGACCGTGGTAAGCGCATGCTGGCTTAAGGTGCACTCGAATTCGAGGACTGTGTCTGCGGCGTGCCATTGTCTGCGTTCGAGGAAGTGTTCACTTTCAGTCTGATTTGGTTTTGTGTATAAAAGTCGGTTGTTGCTGAACGTGCCATTTGCATCCACGTGAATTCTTCGGTTTCATGCAAAATATTTCTCCGATTATGCTGCATCCAATTTGTTTTACTGTTTTGCTTGAAATGCCAGGATGTATAGGTACTCAATCGTGTGAGAAGGCACAGCCTCTGTCGTGATGGTGCTGAAAGGACTCCTAACTTAACGATGGAGTGACCGCCTGCTCCCTCACTGAGCAGTGGCGTAACTCAACGAGTATTGCTACTTCTCAGCATTCTGTTAGCCGCAAAGTGCTGGGGTCGTGGATATGAACGAAGTGTGAGCGTGCGAATAAGGTGACGCAAAAGCCAAGCACGCACGTGGCACATTTTCTCGGCGTAGGCAAGGTTCAGCCGAACATTAACTGGGGATTTTGGAGTTACCTCGGAATGGGGTCAAATTCACCGCCAAACAAGAGGACGTTATGTGAAAACGGAGAGCACCGGAAGGTGCGCCTTGCTAGTGGCAACATTTGGGCTGGAATGGGGCCAGCTGGGAGCAAGAGTGGCGGGCGAGAGATAGCTAAATGAGCATATCACATGCAGGAGATCGTGAGAATTGCCTGGTGCGCGAGCCAACGTTGAGGAGGGTGCTCCAATGAGGACGCGAGAGCAAGCGACGAAACGGAGCACTGGGCGCAAGAAGGCAGTGAAGGGACCGCCAAAAACAGGCCCTGAAAAGCGCACGGGGAATGGGAACGAGAAGACGCCGCCGGCTGCCGCCAGTGGTTTGTTTTTTTTTTTTCGTGTGTTTTGGAAGAGATGTGGGGAGGGGATGCGGCATGGCATTTCACTTGATTGCCGCGCTGCTTTTGCTGCTCCGAACAGAAAGCAGCGCATCTCTCTGCTTGACGAATTTCGAGCGGCAAATGCACCAGACAGCCGAATAATCGGATTATCACCGAGGGAAGCGCGCGATTCGCAACTTTGCTGCTCTGGTCTCTCCCTCGGCTCTCTCGCATCTGCTTTAACCGCGAACTGTCTTTGACTTCATTTTGGTTGAGCCTCTTGCCCTTCTTGTTGAATTTTCCTCCAATTTAACTTTTTTGCTGCCCCTGTGGATGGGTTGGTACATTTTCTTATCAGCAAGCATGACGGCAGATGTTTTCCTCACCAGGGATGCAGGGCTTAATAGTTTCACGCTCATCGAGACATTTTTTTAGATGCTGCGAATTTGACGCTTACCGGGCATAAAAAGCAGTTAGCCGAGATCGCTCAGACGGATCCGGAATTTTATAAGTTCTTAAAAGAGGAAGATGGAGATTTGTTGCAGTTTGACGAGTCCGATTCGGAGCTTAAAGGTATGAAATTTCGACGAATACGATTAGCCGGCTCATCTTTGAAAGACGGAAGAGAGACTTTTCTGTGTGCAAATATTTGCTGTGCATTTGTGAGCGAACTGTATTTTTTTGGTGACTACACTGATACAGTTGTCTGTTACAGTGCTATTGCTCACTCGCTAACAGTCACAGGCTGCGATTAACTTTCGGAAGACATTCCGGCAGTTCCATTTGTGTCGGAAAAATGTTTCATGGTGTTTTTCTCAGCGAATTTTCACTGAATTTCTTTACTCAGTAACAGAACTGCCGCATTGTGAAAAATCTCATATTAATGCTGTTATTGCGACCCCTCACTTGCGAAATGCGACGGAGCCAGAACCTTCCGTCCGAAGCTGCTTATACGCAATTAATACGCATCTCCTTTCTTATTATGTCCACCATCTTTTCTCAATCTTCGCAATAGTTGTTTATTTTCCTGCATATACCGCTCACTAATGGGAGCACATTCGTAGATTGGTGTCCTTTTTGTTGGAGTTCATTTTATAATGTTATCGTACCCATATTCCTGCACGCCTCGAATGTCAGATCTATAAACATACGGTTGCGATAAGACGCATCAAGCATTCCGTCCCGCTGTCATTTCCTCCACTGCAACTAGCACCCGTTTTTCTGCTTTTTTCAGCGTGGCGTCATGCCGTCCCAGGCAATCTTTTGCCATTCACGATCTGGAGACGCTTACTGTAATGTGCGCTAGCTGAAAGCCCTTTGATGTTTAGTCTTCGGAAACAATAGTGGGCCAAAATATCATATGTTTGATTCCAGATCCCAATCTTGAGTTAGACGACGGTCAATCGTTTGAAGAGGAAGAAGAAGAAAAGGAACAGGGTGAGAAGGGTCTGCAGCGTGATCCAAGCGGCCAGTATGTTATCGATGCTTCTTTCGTGCATGATTTGCATATCTCATTATTAGAAAAGGTGAGTCGTGATATTTTGTTTCGGTACCATCTTGTGCTTTTGCAGGA